AGGGAGGGAGGGAGGGAGGGAGGGAAATTTTCTAAGAGTTTGAAAATACACTGAAGTTTGCTGCTGCCACTGAAGCCACTCCAATTGCTGGCCTCTTCACTCCTGGAAACTTCACTACCCAAATCCAGGCAACCTTCCAGGAGCCACAGCTTCTTGTGGCTACTGACCCCAGGGCTGACCACCAGCCTCTCACGGAGGCATCTTATGTTAACCTACCTGCCATTGCTCTGTAACACAGACTCTCCTCTGCGCTATGTGGACATTGCCATCCCATGCAACAGCAAGGGAGCTCACTCAGTGGGTTTGATGTGGTGGACACCAGCTCGGGAAGTTCTGTGCATGCGTGGCACCATTTCCAGTGAACACTTATGGGAGGTCATGCCTGATCTCTACTTCTACAGAGATCCTGAAGAGATTGAAAAAGAAGAGCAGGCTGCTGCTGAAAAGGCTCTGACCAAGGAGGAATTTCAGGGTGAATGGACTGCTTCAGCTCCCGAGTTCACTGCTACTCAGTCCGAGGTTGTAAACTGTTCTGAAGGTGTGCAGGTGCCCTCTGTGACTATTCAGCAGTTCCCTACTGAAGACTGGAGCACTCGGCCTGCCATGGAAGACTGATCTGCAGCTCCCACTGCTCACTCAGGCCACTGAATGAGAAGGAGCAACCACTGAATGGTCTTAAGCTGTTCTTGCATGGGCTCGTAAGCAACATGGGCTCTTAAGCAACACGGAAATTAAATTAATGGGAAATAAACATGAGTTTCTTAAAAAAAAAAAGAAAGAAAAGAAAATATGATCAGGGAACCTGAGACCATAAAAATAGACCAAGTGTTTGTACAATATTAGATTCTGCAAAGTAATATATAATAATTAAAAATTATAATGAAATGGATAATACCATTCAACATATTAGATAATAATGCAGATAGTGAACTGGCAGATCAATCCTAAGAAACAAACTAGAATGCAGTCCAGAGAGATGAAAAGATAGAAAGCATGAAACATAGGTCATTATAAAGGCTAGTGTAAGAAGATTAAGCATATATCTAATCAGAGTTTCAGGAGGAGATAATAGAGATAATGGAGAAGAGGAATACTCAATGGGGTGATAAGAATTTCCCCCAATTTTTAAAAGATACCAATCTTAGAACTGGGAAACCTAGTGGATCCCAAACAAGATAAATGAAAAGATTTCTACGCCAAGACATATTAAAGAAAAGCTATAGAACACCAAAGTAAAAGAGAAGATCTTAAAAGTAGAAAAGGTGAAAAGAGAGATTGCTTTCAAAGTACAAATAGTTAGCCTGCTTATAAACTGCTTTTTTGATATGTAAATCTTCTACCACCCAGAGCTATCTCCTTAATGACCTGAAGCTGTCTCTTCCGTCTCTTCCACCTCAAAGGAGGTAGCGTGAGTTCCACTCATCCCCAACCCCCACTCCCCCACTCCCATCCCATCTCCTGTCTTCTTACCACCTTCTTGTTCTTTTGTCTCCCAGGCTCCGTGGGAGGGTAAGGGACTAATTTTGATAGGTGCTTTACCCAATTTGTAAAACTACCTCCTGTCCTAGAGATTCAAAGTTTGTTTCTTCTCCATAAAGTGCCAATTAATAAACCAGATGGCCTGATTACATTGACCAAGCCCCTTCTTGTTTTTTGTAATTTTCCACTTCCCTGACTCTCTTGGACCTGCCGCTGGTTTCTCCCTCCCTGTTTCATCAGTCTCTCTTTAAACCACCATCACCTCTACACGATTGAAGTTGAGCTCAGTTTTATACTTGTTATAAATAAAGTTTCTGTGCTGCAAAAGAAATAACACTCAAATATAAAATTTTCTTTTTAATTCTCAGCAAGGCAATGTACTTCTACAGAAGGGTGCACGCCCTTACAGATGGAGCAATGATGAGTGCCCACTTGACAAGGGAGGGGATTCTTATCCCTGACACAGGTGGCCCCTGCTGCTGTGTCGTTCCCCTATTGGCTAGAGTTAGACCGCACAGGCTAAACTAATTCCAATTGGCTAATTTAAAGAGAGTGACGGGGTGAGTATGGTTTGGCAGGAAAAAGAGCAGGTAATCGGAATGAGTCAGGATGGAGCGGGTAATCGAAAAAGGTTGCTTTATGAGGAAGTTACGTTTAAAAGTAGAAGGCAAAGAATTGAACATACTGACATATTGATTATTTGAAGAGAAATTCAGAACTCATATCTAACATACTGAAATCTCTCTCCACTACTGCAGTAGTATTACTGAATAGAAACTGTCTTTACCACCTTTAACTAGTGTCTGGCTTTGTTTTTCTTTAACACCCCTCAATAAATGCGAACTTTATTCTGATATCTCAATACATTTCCCTGGTCCCCATGAAGGTGTTTTGCCTCCTGGATACTGACTCTTCTTTACAAGTATGTGTCTTAAATATTTTGCAGGCAATTACTAACCGAGGAGGTCTTTATTGAACACTAAATATCTTAAAATCCAGTTAAGAAAAAGAGACTAAGATTAATTTTTTGAGGAGAAAATTTTAGTAACTTACTCTTTTGAAACCAGCTTCAACTCACTACTAGTCTCAAGAGCTGATCATCAGGATGATCTTTCAAGGATTAGTTCATCCTAATGAACACAGCTCAAAGAAAGAAGTCCTACATATTTTTGCCTTTGGGAATGAGAAGAAATTAAGGAAAGTATTTCTGCATTTGGTTTGAAATGTCACAATTTTTGTTTGCTGAATGGAAGGAAATTCTACTTCTGGCAGAAGGAAAATGAAAGAGCTGAGATGCAAGAAGGAATAGTGTGACACAAACTAGATTAGTGGTTGCCAAGGGCTGGGAGGGAAAAATGGAGAAATGGGGTAGACTGCTAAAGGGTACAGTGTTTTTTGGGGGATGATGGAAACGTAAATGTAAAGTTGATTGTGGTGATGATTGCACAATACTGTGAATATATTAAAATGTAGGTATACTTTTAAATGGGTGAGTTGCATGTGAATTATATCTCAATAAAGCTGAGACCAATAAAAAAGGAATAGTGAGCAACAGTGTTGATAAATATGGATAAATCTAGAACAAATACTGTCTAAAACAGAAATAAAAATAATGTCCCATATAGGGGGATTTGGAGAATCAGTCTATAATGAAATTTCTGCTTAAAAAAATGTGCATATTAGTGAAGAGGAGATATTGGAATAGGTGTACTAATTCTACCGTTGTCAGTCTCAGAAATTATTCAGACAGCTAGTTTATTTCCTCTTTTGCTAGCCTTGATAAATCTATTATAATCCTTCTCATCCTAGCATGATGTTTTATAAAAGGAACCATTGTTCCATCCAGAGAGAGTGAGAAAGACTATTAACACTTGTTAATTTCAAATTATTTGACACCTCTTTCATTTCTTCTAAGTTCTGTACTTTCACAAAAATTACTTCAGCTCTCTCTTAAAATTTGTTTGTGCATACATTGTTTTACTGTGCTCCACTTTATTCTGCTTCACAGATACTGCTTTTTTTTTTTTTTTTTTTGTAATTGAAGATGTGTTGCAACCCTGCATTAAGCAAGTCTACTAGCACCATTTCTCCAAAGGCATGTGCTCATTTCGTGTCTCTGTGCCACATTTGGGTAATTCTCCCAGTATTTTAAACTTTTTCATTGTTATGTCTGTTATGGTGATCTGTGATCGGTGATCTTTGATGTTACTACTGTAATTATTTTGGGCACCATAAACTACACCCACATTAGACAGCAGACTTGATCAATAAATGTGTGTGCTCTGTCTGCTCCACCAACCAGCTGTTCTTGTCTTTCTTCCTCTCCTCAGGCCTCCCGATTGCCTGAGACACAGCAATATGGCAAGTGGACCAGTTAATAGTCCTACAATGGCCTCTACATGTTCATATTAGAGTCACACATCTCTCGCTTTATTTTTTATTACTTTTGTTGTAATTTCAACTTTTATTTTAGATTCAGGGGGTACGTGTGCAAGTTTGTTACCTGGGTATATTGTACCCTGAACTCTAGGGTACAAATGGTCCCATCACCCAGGTACTGACCATAATACCCAATAGTTAGTTTTTCAATCCTTGCCCCTTCTCTCCCTCCTACCTCTAGTAGTCTGCAGTGTCTATTGTTCCTATGTTTATGTCCTTGGGTGCTCAATGTTTAGCTCCCACTTATAAGTAAGACATACAGTATTTGGTTTTCTATTCCTGCATTAAGTCAGTTAGGATAATGGCCTCCAGCTGCACCCAAATTGCTGCAAAGAACATGATTTCATTTTTTATGACTGCATACTATTCCATAGTGTGTATGCACCACATTTTCTTTATCCAGTCTGCCACTGATGGGCACCTAGGTTGATTCCATGTCTTTGCTATTGTGAATAGTGCTGCAATAAACATATGAGTACACATTTCTTTTGGTAGAACAATTTAATTTCTTTTGGATATATACCCAGTAATAGGATTGCTGGGTCAAATGGTAGTTCTGTTTTATGTTCTGTGATGTCTCTCACTTTAAATAAAAAGTGTTTTAAACATATGTGTAAATATCACATCTGTTTACAGCATTGTTTATTGAATGTGTTTAAGCTTATTGTTGAGACCTACTGTTTATTTAAAAAGGCTGCTTTCAAAAGATTACTGTTCATTGACAGTGCACCTAATCACCCTAGAGTCCTGATGGAGATGTACAAGGAGATTAATATCACTTTCATGCCTTCTATTACATTATCCATTCTACAGTACATGGATCAAGGAATAATTTCAACTTTCAAGTCTTATTATTTAAGCAATACATTGTAAGATGAACGCGGTAGCTCACACCTCTAATCCCAGCACTTTGGGAGGCTGAGGTAGGCAGATCACCTGAGTTCAGGAATTTGAGACCAGCCTGACCAACAGGGAGAAACCCCATTTCTACTAAAAAACACAAAATTAGCCAGGCGTGGTGAAACATGCCTGTAATCCCAGCTATTCGGGAGGCTAAGGCAGGAGAATCGCTTGAACCTGGGAGGCGGAGGTTGCAGTGAGCTGAGATCCTGCCATTGCACTCTGGCCTTGGTAACAAGAGCCAAAACTCCGTCTCAAAAAAAAAAAAAGAAATATATATGTGTGTGTGTGTGTGTGTGTGTGTGTGTGTGTGTATTTCCTGAGGCTATAGCTCCCACTGTGATTCCTCTCACAGATCTGAGCAAAGCAAATTGAAAACCTTCTGGAAAAGATTCACCATTCTAGCTGCTATTAAGAACTTCTGTGATTCATGAAAGGTGATCAAACTATCAACCTTAACAGATGTTTGGCAGATGTGGATATCAACCTTCAGGAATGACTTTGGCAACTTCAAGACTTCAGTGGAGGAAGTAACTACAGATGTGGTAGAAATAGCAAGAGAATTAGTGGAACCTGAAGACGTGACTGAATTGCTGCAATCTCATGATCAAACTTGAAAGGATGAGGAGTTGCTTATGGCTGAGCAAAGAAAATGGTTTCTTGAAATGGAATTTACTCCTGGTGAAGATGCTGTGAACATTGTTGAGATGACAACAGTGGGTTTAGAATATTACATAAACTTCACTGATAAAGTAGAGACACACTTTGAGAGGAATTTACAATTTTGAAGTAAATTCTACTGTGGTTAAAATGCTGTCAAATAATATTGCATCCCGCCGAAAACTCTTTCATAAAAAGAAGAGTCAATCAATGTGGCAAATCATTGCTGTCTTAACTTAAGAAATTGCCACAGCTGCCCCAACTTTGATAACCACCACCCTAGT